CATTGTCATCAGCGAGTCCAGGCCCTAATGGGTGACACAAGATCTTGATCTGATCAAGGATCTGCAGAGTCTAACACGTGAACGATATTATAGTGACTCTCAGAGTCAAACAGCTCTGCTGTATACAACTCCCAAGCCACTGTTGTTATAGAAACAAAGATTTCAAGGCTGTTCTTTGCTTTAAAAGCCCCTTCTTTATGTTTCAGTATATAACCAGCAGAAGACAAAATTGTTAAAAGCCCCACATTGCGAGCTGTCTGGGTGATTTGATTGAGATGGGAAGGCCTGGTTAGATTTTAACGTATTGACAGGGGATAGCTCCTGTGGACCAGATCATGAGGGCCTTGAAGGAACAGCATGATCCCAGAAACACACACTGTCTATACTGCGTCTGTGAACGGAGACATGCAGTGCAGAGGACACGATAAACTACCTGGGATAAATCAGGGAGCATAAGCTTTTGACTCAGCGAACATCAATAAACCTGCAGCCTTTTCATATTCTTCCTGCTCAATTCAAAAAGAAGGCAACAGCAAATAATGTCCTACCTCAGAAAAGCTCATCCAGTCCCAGCATCTTCTTCAGCATCGCCTACAGACCACCCAACCATGGGAAGAAAATACTCCACCAACTGTTCCTTGAAGTTCCACCAAAACACCGAGAGCTCGCCCGATTCAGAAAGGGGCAGTTCATTGAAACAACATATAAACCTGACTCTCTGAGTAGAGAAAGCAAGAATTCTTCTCCTTACGTATGCAGCTCACACACTGAGCCTGTTCCTTGCTCACTCCCTCCCCTGACACTGATTCTCTCCCTCAAGTGTATCCGTACTGAGCTCTCCCAAACTGACTCACTCTGCTCCAATGCTAACACGTACACTCACTCTGTGCTGCCCACTGCACTCACTGACAGAATTCACTAGATTGCTGAGCTGCAGGCTGTATTTAGAGTGGCAGCTGGGGGTGGGGGTGGGGTGGGGGGGTGAGGGGGTTGCCAGCTTACAAGAGCAAACTCCGCTGACTCACCGTACCTGCTCTGGTCGACTTGGCAGTGACCCAACCCGGCCCTGTCAGGGGGCCTGGTGGCCGACAGCCAAGTTTTTAAATCCTTTCCCATGCTACCCCTTTAGCTCTGAATAACAAAAGTTACGCCAGCTGGCAGCAGCTACTGATTCCTGGGCATAACCTTGAGAGACATTGACATTAACCCATCATGCAGCAGACACCCTTGAGCTGCCATGTGAAAGATATGAAGCCAGGGTAACCTCCCTGCCACCCTGAATGTGTTGACACCAACGACAGAGGGCCCGTAGGCTATAGATCCCCCCTCAGGGTGTCACACGGTAAACGCTGAGTATGGAGTGGGGAGCAGGATCAAACATGACCTCCTACTGTCCACCCATACCAATGCTCTCAGAATCTCTAGCCTGGGTCACGATAGTGATTAACGGTGAAGCAGCTGGCAGCGCTCTCACCCAAGTTCAAAGGTCATGGGTTCAACTCCAGAGTCCTGAGGCGTTCTAGTTCAGGCCTGTTGGAGGGCTGCACTGTCAAAGGCACCCTCTTCCGGATGGGGCTTAAAATCAAGGTCCTGCCTGGCCCCCCTCAGACGGGTTTTAAAGATCTCCCCGGCACTATTACGAAGAGGAAAAGGCCAGTTCTCCGTGGCACCCTAAACATTTTTCCCTCAACTGCCAGGACTCAAAAGCAGGTCGAGCGATTGTCACATTGGGACCTTGCCGTGCATCAATTGCCAACTGTTAAAAATCCTTCAAGAAAAAAGCAAAACTTCACAAGTTCCATGTCCAAGAAAGTTGCAATAGGAACGCAAAGCTATCTCCCTGCCCTCAGCTCTTTATGGCAAACCATCAAAAACCCATCACACCCTTGGTCTCAATGTTGGAGACTACATCGTATTCAGTTGGGAAAACGCTCAAAGTACTGAAACCAATTATTGTTGACCGGTGAAGGAATGCTCGGACAGGAACTGATAGCAACCAGCTTGGAGACACTCTCACCAATAGCCATCCACCTCTCCTTGAGGATATACTAAGAACCAGCTTTTTTAATAATAAACAAAAGTGGAACTTGGATTCCTTGTCACTTGCCACACTTGTTGTCCAACCCTAATTGCCCTTGAACTGACGGTCTTGCTGGGCTATGGAGGGCAGTTAAGAGTCCAGGTCTAGAGTCACATGCAGGCACGGACCAGGGTAATGAGAACAGATTTCCTTTAGTAAAGGATATTAGTAAAATTGATGATAATTGTCACCATGGCAGACACCAGCTTTATCTTATCAATATATTAAGCAGGTTTAAACTCCACCAGCTGCCAAGGTGGGAACTGAACCCGTGTCCTCAAGACTTTAGCCTCGGCCTCTGGATTACTATTCGACTTAATTACCAGCGATCACTGTCATTTCTCCTCTCGTAGGAAGCATGCTTGCAGGGTCAGACCCAGAAGTAATGCTCAGCTCCACCTTTGCAGCAGGACGTCATAGACATTATCCAGATTCCACGCTAGGTGTGAACACTGCCCCGGGGATGGCCACCAGGAATTTGTTAAGGAACAGAAGCACATCGAACAGCGACTGATAACCAAAAATAATGGCAGTTCTCTCCTCTGTTACCTTAATGTCACTTTCGAAGCTGGTTTGTTCACGGTCGAGTGACCTGACAGGCGAGGAGAACGTGCACGGCCTCCTGTCTTTCATTGGCCTGCATCCAAAACTCACCATTCACATTGAGAGTCACTGAAAGCTTCAGTGAGTGGGCTGACGGAGCAGGTTGGCTGGAATTGAAATGAAACCTCCCAGGGGCAGCAGCTCATTAGTGTTTCTGCAGTGACTCGCAACACGCAGGCTGTGCTGACACAAGCACATCCAAAATACAATGGGGCCTGGCGCAGTCCCATCAGACCTGGGCCTACCCACTCTGAGTAAAACCTCTAGCACTGAGGGAACCACGTCACCCTTTCACTAGGAGTTTAAGTCAATAAATCCCAGTGTCTACACGCTGAAAAGCTTTTAAACAAAAAAGCCTCACTTGAACAAAAACACATTAAAGTAAAAGCCCCTACATCCATGGTGATGCAGTGTGAGGAACAAAACATTAGGACATGCCCTTCCTCCCGACCACCACCAAACTCCGCAAGACGTATAGAGTGAGTGTCTGCTCGACACTAATGATACAGTCTCCCAACCAATGGCTGTCTTCGCTGAATTAATTTCTCTCAGGTAATAAGGACATTGTTGTTCTCAACCGCTTGTGCCAACACTTGTGTAGCTTGGCCTGATATGTGGCAAGCAATGTTTGTACCGCACATTGCCCGTCTCCAACAAGAGAGAATCTAACCATCGCCCCTCAATATTTCATGGCATTATCGTCACTGAACCCTCCATTCCCAAAATCCTGAGGTTTTCCATTGACCAGAAACTGAACTGAGCCAGCCATTTACATTCTGTGGCTATAACAGCAGGAAATTCAGCAGCGAGTAGCACACCTCCTGAATCCCCTGTCCGCCATCTACAAGATATAAATCAGGAGTGGGAGGGAATACTCCCCACTTGCCTGGACGGGTCCAACAACACACAAGAGATTAGACACCATCCAGGACAAAGCAGTCTGCTCAATTGGCCACACATCCACTCCCTCCCCCACCGACACTCAGTAGCAGCAGTGTGTACCATCTACAAGATGCACTGTAATAACAAAGGCTCCTTGGACAGCACCTTCCAAACCCATGCCCTCAACCATGTGAAAGGACAGGGGCAGCAGATACAGGGGAACACCACCACCTGCAAGTTCCCCTCCAAACCACTGACCATCCTGACTTGGAAATATATCGCTGTTCCTTCACTATCGCTAGGTGAAAATCCTGGTACTCCCTCCCTCAGGGCATCGTGGGTGGCACCACATGCTAAGAATGGCACCAGTTCAAGATGACAACTCACCACCACCTTCCCAAAAGCAATTAGGGTTTTGCAGGCCCAGCCAACCCCACCCACATCCCATGAACAAATTAAAATAA